GGCGCCTTAGCCGTTGGGCCACGAGACCGTGCTCTTCTCAATCTCATATTTCGCTCTTATCCTTATCTGTGAAATCACTTTCAGAGCCGATAGAAAATAAACATGTTTCACTAACTTTAATGAGAAAAGTATAAGTAGTCAATACCTAACTAGTTTAAAACAATTTCTAAAAGTAACAGTAAAAGTTATATTTGATCCTACAGTCTATGCTGTGCTGGTTACAGTATAGTTTTCAGTTATACAGTAAATAAAAATACTTTCATAGAACTTATGCATCCCATGATGCTTTCCGGCTACTACCAAACGATGTATTAGCGAGTTTTATGCTTGTATCTTTTGATTATTTTGATCAAATAGATTGGCGTGTTTCACCCTGACGCCCAATGGGGTCTTGTATCAATGTCGGAACTGAGACATGAATTGATAATTGGAGGAAGTGTCGAATTTTAGTTCATGAGAAGTGCAGCAAGCGCCACCGTCATTTTATAGTAGTCAAGCGGTCCTGGAACGAAAATTTCGTTGAAGAAGAAAATTTTATATTTGTCTTAATTTCTGATTTTCTAGTGAGAAGAAACTTAGTTTAAGCAAACTTCTTGTTTAAGTTAGTTTAAGGAATTTATTTAGCTTTAACACTACACCTTGGTTAGTCTTGAATTCATGCCAGCAATACGTTCTAAACGTCGCGAATCATGCGCACATCATAATGATTCAAAACGTCAACGAGCTGCCAGTCCATCACAAGAATCAGATGAGTAACTTGAGAAACAGGTTTTGCGCACGGCGTTAGAAAGAACTCTCAACATTTCAACAGATCCGGACTCCACGAAAAAACAACTGTTTGACCTTTACAAGCGCAATCTGCACAAGCTATCACCAGTACCGACAGCTATGTACCCAACACAAGCGAATGATCTATTACAGCAATTGTCTACTATCAATTTCAAGCATACTAATGCCACTTCTCAACCAGTAACAACAGCGGCAACAACAACAACATCGGCAACAGGTCGTACAGATGATCTATCATCAGCAACAGCAGCAGCAAAAGAATTTATAGATACTGTCCGTAAGTTTTCGAGGGATACCAATCCTGATCCATCACATTTGCTGTATGGTCAACCCACCACTGTTGCTGCTACCGTGAGTGATGTCGTTTTTGTTAATCCTAAACTAAAGAGTCTTATCTTGTCTGGCCGCTATATAAACTTAGCGCTGCTGTTGCTACCATACGACGGATCACAACCTAAAGATTTCGACATAGACACAGGGAAAGTACTTCTACTGCCGAGATCCAGTGGTGATCCTCATTTGCGTCGGATACTAATGCTACCAGAATTTTTATTGGCATGGTCAAAATATACAACCATTTTTTGCGAAGTGTATGAACAAAGGAGACAGGAGTTAAACAAATATCAGACTCAAATCATTACTATGGCGCAACGTTTTCCAGGTCCATCCTTCTATTTTTATCATTGCGAATTTGCTCAAAAGGCTGATGCTCTTTTGAGTAAAAATATTTTGCTTAACTGGTCTGTGTTAGACCTTGAACTGTACTGTACGTTGACATCGGCAGGTGCTACTGCCTGTGACTTGTGTCCCTCAGTCATGCATGCTGCAGCTTTCTGTCCGTTTGCTGCGACCGGCAATTCAGTGGCAGCTCCACAGTCGTTGTCATCAACAATGACAACAACCAACAACCGTACTCCATTTTTTAATTTCGTCGTATAACAGCTGATTCACGTGGAAGAACGCGTGTTTATTTTGATAATCACGAATTGTGCAATGATTACAATGATGTTAACGGAAATCGATGTAATTCAACCATCGATGATACTTCGTCGAAAATAGCCGAAGAACTACGTGAACCGAACATCAGTTTTGTACATAAAATTTTGCTCTCTGTCTCTGATAAAATTTGTGTTCTTTCGAAAAAAAATACCACGTTTACATCGACTTTATCCTGTAGTTCGAAAGTAATAGAACTGGTACAACACGAGCTAGAAAGAAGAACCCTGCTTCTATTTATCTCGACACAAATTTTATCAGAGACAGAGAGCAAAAATTTTATGTAAAGCAGTGAGTACAATAAAAAAAAGAAATGAATTGTGTAATCAGACTCCAGTACAAATTATTCAAAGAAAAATCCAATCCAGATGG